CGAGAGGCGCTCAGTGAAACGGGAGAGGCTGCTTGAAATAGTTGGTCCCCATCTGGCGTGGTATATTATATATACAGGTTGCACAATATACATATATATATATATATACACACACACGTAAAAATTATATAAACCAATCTACATCCAGCATTTAACCTCATAACGGCTAAGCTTTCCAGCCCCAACTGGTAACAGTGTATTCATGGTTGTCCTAATTGTCCTCTCTCTCGATATTTGTATACGTATATTATGTATATACATATATTGCTATATTCAATTATTCCTTGGTTACACATTCCCGTCCAGAATAGAAACGTCCATTGAAAAAAAATGTTGTCATTGTCCAGTCGCGTTGACTCTGGGTAGTTTCGCCTTTTTTCGCGGGCATTTCCGCCATTTCACCGGGAATTTCTTGCCCAGAAAAATCAACATGCGCAAAGCAAAGTCAGGTCAGCCAAACAAGGGTGCCAAATGCAAAAGGTTGTACCTTGTACGGTCTTTTTGTCAAATCCGGCCAGTAGACCAGCGATACTATTCCTAAGAATCTGATCGTATTCTTGAAAATGGCCACAGTAGTCAAAAAGATACCATTGGTCAAAATTGATACATATTCGACACAAAAGGTCCAACTGGAAATCCGCCCTGATATTCCAGAGGATTGAATATAGAAATATTAGAAATTGAATGATATTGATATCAAATAATATAATTTAAATTATGGTATTTAATTATATTTAGTGGATATTGATGTTTTTCACCATGTCTCTCTTTTAGCGCCGCTTTTCGTGTTCAGATCGAGGCATTGCACCCCAAAGCGACTGGAACGGATGTTGCGTCAAATTCTCCGAAGTCGCTGGACCCAGCCGTTGTTTCACAACGCGCCGCAGATGGGGGCAGACGGAAAATTCTCATGTCGGTTTGAAACCTGTGAAACGCCTGGATATAGGTGGATGGTAAGCTGAAAATTGCTGGGATCGAGTTTTTCATTTCGTGTTTTAGGTCAGCTAGTTATGCCTTTTGAATCACATCGAGGCATCAGAAAGCTCTCCACTGATCCATATGGCAACTATGTGACGAGCTCAATTCGGCCACAACAAGAGACGGAGTTGTGCATTAGGGGTTGTAGTTATTCGCAACTTGCATTATGAGCCATGTAGAAATGGGATAACCTTGGGATACTTGTTGGACTTACTAAATCAGAGTGATGAACCACTTTCTAAGTGGGGTGATCCTTCAAGTATAGATTCGTAGATTGTGACGAATTCAGGTCATTCGTCACATTCTCGAGCATGGCAACCCTGAACACAAGAAGTTGGATGCTCAGTTGCCAGTTGCGCTGACTTCATGCCATGCATTTTGCACCATGAACCACTCATATTGTGAGACCGCAGGAGTATCGTCAACGAGGTGTGCAATTATGTTCCAGCCTCAGTGAGTCCCAAATCTTCAAGGCGATTTCACCATAGTTCAAGTCCAAGGATATATATATATATAGTAGCGGTGTATCTTTATAGATGATTGAACAGACAGTATCATGGATGTCATAATTATACTGGATAGTATATATGAATATGTATTTATATATGTATTGATTATTAGACAATGATATTGTACTGATTATAACTCACAGTATATATATATAAAAAGCATTAAGTACCAGTAGTACCGCACAAGGCGGTGGCGGAAGTTTCAGAATAGGAAACCTATAGGAGACGTTGGTTGTTGTGAATCACGGATGGCAGAGCGAATCCACTGATTGACCGAAAGGTGGTTGGAGTTGTGTTGCTGGAATGGTTGCAATGGTTACAGTGGTCACCTCACCCACAACTGCTAGATGTAGTGTGATGTACTGCAACTGTAGTTGTTGTAGTTGTAGTTGTTGTTGTTGTTGTAGTTGTAGCTGTAGTTGTTGTGTGGTTGTAGTCGTTGTGTAGTGTAGTTGTAGTAGTTGTAGTAGTAGTAGTAGTAGTAGTAGTAGTTGTTGTTGTTGTAGTTGTAGTAGTTGTTGTTGTTGCTGTTGCTGTAGTAGTTGTTGTTGTTGTTGTAGCTGTAGCTGTTGTAGTTGTAGTTCTAGTTGTAGTTGTTGTTGTTGTTGTAGTTGTAGCTGTAGTTGTTGTGTGGTTGTAGTCGTTGTGTAGTGTAGTTGTAGTAGTAGTAGTAGTTGTTGTTGTTGTTGTTGTTGTAGTTGTAGTTGTTGTTGTTGTTGTTGTAGTAGTAGTTGTTGTTGTTGTAGCTGTAGTTGTTGTAGTTGTAGTTGTAGTTGTAGTTGTTGCGTAGTTCTAGTTGTAGTTGTAGTTGTTGTGTAGTTGTAGTTGTAGCTGTAGTTGTTGTAGTTGTAGTTGTTGTGGTTGTTGTTGTTGTTGTCGTTGTCGTTGTTGTTGTTGTTGTTGCTGTTGCTGTTGTCGTCGAAGTTAGGGTAGTTAAGTTAGTCAAGTTAGTTAAGTTAAGCAGTGTCTACTTTTTCGACATCTTCACGTCAAAAAAGGCTCAAAACCCTCAGTAGTTCACACTTTTGACTTCGAAATGTGCTTCGTGCCACAACGGCGTGCACTTTTGCGACACTTTTTCGACATCTGAACCTCCAAAAGTGGTCCGAGACCGTCAGTTTTTAACACTTTTGACTTGGAAATGTGCTTCGCGCCACAACGGCGTGCACTTTTTCGACATCTGAACTTCAAAAAGTGGTCCGAACCTGGTGTGTTTTGTACATTTTGACTTCAAAATGTGCTTCGCGCCACAACGGCGTGCACTTTTTCGACATCGCAACTTCCAAAAGTGGTCCGACCATGGTGTGCTTTGTACATTTTGACTTCAAAATGTGCTTCGCGCCACAACGGCGTGCACTTTTTCGACATGGCAACTTCCAAAAGTGGTCCGATCCTCTAGTGTTTTGTCCATTTTGACTTGGAAATGTGCTTCGCGCCACAACGGCGTGCACTTTTTCATGTCTCATCTGGCCAGCTGGCTCCGCACCCGCCGCTTTAGCGAGCCTACTTTTCGACCCTCCGGAGCCACAAATCATTGAAAAAACACAGTGAATCGCGACTTTCCTACCTTTTCGCGCATCTGCATCTTCTTTCTTCTGATCTTTTCTCTTCTGACTCTTTTCACCTCTGCTTTTCAACTGTCCATATTGTCGGAAGTTTCACTTCTAAACTTCCTTCGATTAGATTAGATAATTAGATGATAATCATTCATGTTAATTAATCAATGATGGTATATCATCCGTTATATCATCCATTATAATCTGGTTGGTGCTTTGGAACATTGTTTGTTTTCCCATATGGGAATTTCATCATCCCAACTGACTCATATTTTTCAGAGGGGTAGGTCAACCACCAGTAATATGATCATGACATGAAACCACCATGATCGATGATCCTGGTCTATTATCAACCACTCTAATTGGTTGGTTCCATGTTAATGGCTGGACCATGTAACAAATTAAGACCCATTAACATTAACATCACCCATTAACATTCCCTATGGATCCAAACACTGTCTGAGAAGGTACTTAAGCCTCCAAATTATAGTAAATTATACCCCAAACACTTCCTAAGAAGGTACTTGGATCCATAGGGATTAACTAACCATTAACATTAAATAATATTTAAATCTAATTGGATCATTTATTATCACCAATTATCATCACGATGGAGCTTCCCGGAGGTCTTGGAGCTCGGCAAGGACAAGCACGCCAGTAACGTGGTCGAGAAGTGCTTTGAGGCGCCCAGCCAAGGGAACCCCCGTCTCGATTTATCCATTGATGGTGAAGTTTATTAAGATGTTCACTAGCAAAAGTGTAAGAGTCATATATTTCGAAAACGTATAAAAATATTGTGATTATTACTGTTAGGTATTGTTAGTGTTAGTGTTCTTAATTCTGTATAACATATATAACATATTCAACATACGTATATAATATAGATAACATATATAACATATATATATATATTTATAACATATTTAACATACTTATATGTAACGTAGACTATATATATGCTAATATACATACAGATACACATAGCTGTGACAAAGCTCGTAGCAGCGGTGCAAGGCCTCCACGACTGGTGAACATGCACTGGCCTCGGTGACAGAATCCAACAGCGGATGGCGGCGGCGATGGGATGATATGTTTGATATGCTTAATTTAGGGGTCATTTATTATTAATTATGGAAAAATAGCTTTATTCAGGGGGCTTTGATAAATCGTAGGTCAACATTAATGGATGATCATATGGGATGATATCTTTTTTTAAATGGATGATATCATAATAATCTATGTTTAACGTATGAGAATATAGATTGATATGTGTTTAACGGTTGATATCATAATAATAATAATCCATGTTTAGCGGATGATATATGATGATATGATATGGGATTATTTGTGTTTCATGGATTAGATGTTTGATAATGCCAACCCCGGATTAATAAACCATGGTTTATCAACTAGGGGACTAGGGGGTCATAATCTAATACTTAAATGGTACCCTCCCAATTAAACAGCCTAGGGGTTTATTAATCCAGGGTTGACATTATGTTTAATGGATAATATCATAATAATAATCCATGTTTAATGGATGATAGTATGGGATGATATCATACTAACAATCCATGTTTAACGGATGATAATATGGATTGATATGTTGTAAACGGATGATATCATAATAACAATCCATGTTTAGTGGATGATATATGATATGATATAGGATGTATCATAATGATATAGAATCATATCATTCATGTTTTATGATTAAAGAATCAAAATAATATGATAATTGTGTAGCTTTCCTTGTTTATCACAATAGGATCATAATAACATGATATAGAATCATATGATGGTCTCATAGAATTGGATGATGGGAAAATTTACAGGAAAGACCTATATTTGATGGGAAAAACCATGGTTTCCTGTAGATTTTCCCTTAAACCAATCCATTGATGGTCATGTTTGTTAACTGTTTGTTGGACCCCCCCGACAAAGACGTGGCACCGAGGCAGCCTTTTTGAAGGAAGAACGTCAGCGATTGATTCGCGCTGTGCTTGGACCTGCGCCCAAGGCCAACCGACGTTGTTTCGGATTGGGACGTTGGGAGGGGAAGGTTATTAATAATAATAATGATAATAATATTTATATATAGTATATATATATAGTATATATATATATGTTATATTATCTATATAATATATATATTATATTATATTTAATATTATGTATATAATATATATTTATTACAGTATATATGATATATAATATATATGATATATAAAATATAGTATTTTTGATATATAATATATAATATATTTGGTATTATATATATATATGATATAATTTAATATATATATATATATATGATAATATATATATATATATATGATATGATATATATAATATATATAAAATATATAATATATAATCTATATATAATATCATAAACTCATTATTTATATATATATATATACATGGTGACGATGGTATTGCCACATATTGCAACATATCGCAACATATGGCAAGGTATGATCTACATGAATAATTATCTATATGACATTTCACGACATGGAATGAATTAATAAATGATTTGAACATACCATTCCATATCAATCCATATCATATTAAATGACTCTTACTTTTGATTCATAGTATGACCCATTGTGGTACACCACTAGAGGCTCGACCCTGCCAGGATCCTTCAGACCGGTCTTCCCCATTGGTGCAGCTGATGGATGACAGGCGGTGAGACTTGGGATACCTGAAAATCATCTGGAAAATCGAGCAATTTTATCCAAATTCGATGGTTTTCTTTCATGGTTTTTCCACATAGAAATCCATAAACATGGCGTTTTTCATTGGGGAGTATCCCCAGTTTTCAGACAAAGCCACCGGAACCATGTTGTAGATGTTGTGCAGACCCTGTCGAAAGTGTCGTTTTTGTTGTACAGACATCACCTTTTTGTCCTACAAGGTGGTGGTGTAATCATGGGATTATGACATATTCTGGTTGGTGGTTTGGAACATGAATTGTATTTTCCCCAATAGTTGGGATGGGTATTTTTCAGGGGGTAGGTCAACCACCAACCAGTATTATAACTTAACTACATGACTAAACCAACTCAACTAGGGTTTATGTTGACAATAACTAGTAACTGAAGTATTTCCCGCAATTAGGGTTTATGAGGTGTGTGGGTGATTATAACATATTCTAATATGGGAAATTATGGGAACGCCAATTTCACCATCCCCAAGATCAGTTTTTTTTTTCCATGGCTTGTGTATGTTTGCCATTCACCAGTCATGGCCACCTGGTTAGGTTCGGCAAGTATGTCGCAAACAGTTTGGTGGAGTACAGTCGCGGCCCTGAGGCACTGGACTTGACGGCGAAAAAAAACCCATGGATCACCGCCATGGATCATTTGATACAGCACGAGACTCGAAAGCGATAAGCCCAGCATCAAATACTGATTTCAAAGTCAACTATATATAATTATACATATATATATTATATTTTATATATTATATTATATATATATTATATTATATATATTATATATAAGCCCAATATAACTCCAAATAAACTGAAGATCAATCCCATGTGTTTTTTTTTGCTGGCACCAAATCAAAATTGAGCCATCTGCCAGGAGATGAAAATCCTCTACAGCCGCATTTCATCGGCTCCAGGGCACCTCAGCTAATCTCAGTTTGGTTTATATATGGTACTTATACATCTAATAGTATAACATCTAAGTACTGATAGTTATATATGGATATATATGGTACTATCTAATAGTAATGATTTAAGTTAAAACTAAGTACTTATACATCTAATGTTTTTTTTAGATACTTTAGTTCTAATATGTTCTAATGAGATATCATATATATATATATGATAGATAAACCATATTTGTGTCATAAACCATAATGATACTTTATGACTTATAACTTTATTGTTTATGGAGATACTGTTGAGATACTTATTATTGTAACTCTAGTTAATGTGCTCTTTTTTAAGCAAATTAAAACTGGGGGCGCCGCATTGTATCATTGGTTAACTATAGATTATCAATCGACAATGATTGTTTAAACTTCTAGTTATTCTAGTTACGAAAACAACAGGAGTGTAGTTTTGAGTATCATTGGTTATTGGTTATTACTATTAACCAATTGTATTTAAGTACACGTATTAAATATTGGGGGTTACTGAAGGTTACTAATCTTAACTATTGGGGATTGGCTATGTTAGTATTTAAATTCACGCGTTATTATCAGTTATAAGTTAAGTGACATCATTACTTAACTTGTAAAATACGATCATTGGTTATTTGGGGGTCACTAACAGTATTTCACTGTTAAATTATTTTTAGTACACTATTGGGTATTATAGAGAGTATAAATATTTGATTACTACAACTGATAAGTAACTTTTACTATAGGGTTAACTATCATTGCAGGTTACTATCAGTTTCAACTTTTACGATCAGTTTTAACATGTGTTAACTTTCACTATAAAGTTACAACCCCCAAAAAAGATAACAATAAATCCACCAAAAAAGAGTCTTGTGTGTAGCAACCCCAATGACATGAGTTTTGTAGTATAGCACCCTCTGATAGAGAAATAGTTTACTTTTCCATCTTTTTGGTGGTTGAAGAACATGTATTGCAACCCTGAAAACAATGCTGAAACGTGTTTTCAGGATGTGGACTAGTTGAGACTCATGATAAATTTATCCATCATTTTTCCCAGGTGTCCCACTTTTCTATCTATTTCGGGATTGCCATAGACCATGAATCGGGCTTGACTTCTGTAAACCACTTATGTGGTGCAACGTATTTTCACTCAAACCACAAGATGTATGTAAACATTTAAAACTCAATAGTTGAAGACATGTTTGAACTTTTTTTTTATTTGAACAGGTTGTAATTTCCATCTCTGATCAGTTGGCCTTAAGTTTCTGAAGTTGGCCTTTTGGGGGTCCCAGGAAGAAGGCGAGCATCGCTTCTCTGCTGGAAATGCTCCTTGGCTGCGGGCCGTTCAGTACGAAAAAGCCTGACCATTTTGGAGCTGAAGTGAAAAACTATGGAGCAGTCGTATATAAGCATGATGTAGAATATATGTATATATATACACATTATAATTGCAGAACCACAGAATACCACGCATATAAGCTATATACACAATGATTTGTTGAGATCTAAGAAAGAGAGTTGGCCATGAATATAGCTCCCAAAAAGATAGGAACATGCTAGGTTCACTATTTTAGTGGGATTTGAATGTTCATATGCTCTATCTAACTCCGGGGGTTACAAAAAACCTCTACCATTCGGATGAGCCTCCATCCATCAAGGGCGATGTTCATGTTCGCCCAGTGCATTGAGGCTTGAGAGGCAGCTTCAACAGGCTCAATACCAGCTCCTCAGCTGAAGCAGCTGAATCCTGGATGGTTCTTTTCGCGAGCCAAGTTTCAGACAAAGAAAAAGCGATCAACATCGTTCAAAGGTACATTTATCATGATTTATCTGGTTAAAAAGGCCCGGCTCCTTGGTATATATATATATAAATACATACTATATATATATATAAATACATACTATAATATATATATATATATGTACATATATACTGTGGATGGAAGAAATCCTGCATCACCTTGGATGGTTGAAACCCTATAAATAATGGGATAAACCACCTATCAAATCCCAGGCAGATGGCACAGCAACAAGTGCTTCAATTTCAGCCCCTGCGCGCCAAGCAGGTTGGATTACATGCTGTTCACACTGATAGCAGTGACACTAAAAAAGCATCACAGTGACTCCTTGCAGTTGTTGATTTTTGTTGACAACTTGTAGTTTGGGGTTTCCAAAGGGTTTCCAAAGTTGCCATAGACTGGTTCATCCAAACTTGGCCCGGAAGGTTCCCAACATTTCCCAACAGTGTTCTGAAAACTTTTGATCTTTGGCAAAGGGCAGTGCAAAGTGAGCCTTGAACGCTTGATTGGCGGCTGCTGGTGCCTCAGGGATCGATGGTGGCTATTGCCACCATCCCCAGCCATCGAAAAATTGGATTCCACTGGTGGATTTGGGTGCTGATTTTCACGGAACGATGGGTGCGAAAAACCCGTGTTCTCCCATGTTTTTATTGCGAAAAACCCGTGATCTGCCGAGAAGTTGAGCCCCGACATCCCGAGGTCCGGGCCCAGCACAGATGGCTTTTCCCGAGACAGGACTGGCCTTAGTCCGTCGCCCAGGAATTTTGGCTTCGCCGAAACGGCGGATGGGTCATGGATCATCCGGATGGATGCCAACGCTAAGGCCAGGACAGCACCAACCAGCAGGGCCTCATAGGTGTGGTGCTTTTCGAGCGAGCTTGGGGCCTATGGATCCACGAAAATTGATGATGTGTTGTTTCTTGATAGCCAATTGATAATCCATCAACTGTCAAGTTATATAGAAACAACACATGATAATCCCTTTTTGTGTGTTAGTTTGACCATGTTTGACCTGCAGTTGATCCCATATGGATATGGCTTCAAGTTTGGATATGGCTCACAATCTCCATATTGAGTGATTGAGTGATCTTGAGATGATGTTCAGCCACCTTGCCACGTCTGGCATGATCATTGATGGCACCCAAGATGCTCTGGCCAACTATTCACAGATCTTGAAAAGACGCCTGAGACATCTTTCTACATAAGATGGCCAGGATTTACCATGTCATTTCGATCCTCAGGAATCATATGATATCATATAATATCATATATGATCTCCCTGTTTTCGGCAGGCCCACTGCAGGAGCACAGTGGATGCAGCTTTGGACATCTAAGAGAAGCTGCGTTGTAGAAGCTTTGGTGTAGACCTCCATTGCGGAGGGCAAAGATGGTGAACCATTCCTGGCGAGGTTTGGAGGGCCAAAGGCCGCACAGATCAAGGAGAAGCAATTGATGTTGTTTGTTGCTTCTTGAAATCTATTTTTGAGCAATCATGTGTTAGTATGGTCCAGAAGTGAATCGCATAGTCTTACCCTCCAAACGTGCAAGCACAGTTTGAAGTTTTGCACGTCATATGCCACAACCACTATAACCATCTATAACCACTGCAACACATCTGTACTGAATCTGTTCTTTCAGTCCTTGTGCTTTGCAAAAAGATCAGCCTTTGGAATGTCGGTGGTGTGGCGTGATGATTTAAACTGCCAGGGTTAAGCACAGCTTATAACCAGGTTGCTGGCCCTTGCACAGGAGGAATGGAGCAGTTTCCAGCTGACTTTCATTTTTGGATTTTTGCTACTGAAGACGTTTTTGCGGCAACACAGAGTCATTAATTGTTGATGTCTTTTCAAAAAGTCTCCAAGTCATGACGCGCGACCCGCGTGTTTCATCACTGGAAAAAACTGATTCTCCCCCTGAAGTTGGGGATGCATCGAGCGTTCTCTGCTGTGTCCAAAGTCCAACAGGGCAGTGAATGGATTGCACTTGGCTGTTTTATTTGTGCAAGTTTTTCTCAAGGTTTAGCAGACTCAGGTGATTTTTAGACTGATGTTTTTTGAAGACCAATGAAGACCATATAAGTCGACATATAAGTTAGTGTAATAAAGGCACAGATCCTGAGGAAACATGATGAAGCTTGTGTGTTTGCCTATTATGTTTGTTCTCTTTGTGCGTACGCATAGCCACTTGTAGTTTGTAGCGAAATAGGATCCGAAGAAAAGTCCTTCTTGGCTCCCTCCAACTGGAAAAAGTCAAAGGCAACATCAACATTGGAGTCCCCCTTAAAATGACCACAACGCCACAATGGACCATGGAGTCCTTCATCGCATTGTCCAAGGCATTCCAGGCCGCCCTCACAATGCAGGGAGCATTCGAATTCGAAGCCGCTCAGAATCCGCCAGCGGACGTTTGAAGTTTGGTACGCCGTGGCAGTGATGCTGTCAGAGCGGATAGACCCTATTACAGGCAAGGAAAGGGGTCAAGAAGTACCTCTGTCTCTTCCGTATTTCGATTCCGAGGCCTTGATTCAATCTGAAAAACAACATGTTTCAACAGATTTCAAGGTGCTAAAAAAATATGCCTTTCCAATAGTCCAATCAAATCACAATTCGGAGGGTTGAATCTGTTTGAATTTGTTATCAAGTTATCATTATTGATATTTGTCAGATTGAGATTAGATGTTTTTGTTCAGCTTCGGAATCTGCCAACCACTCGCTTTGAGGCACAGACTTTGTCACTTGCTTTTGTGCTCAATGCCCGCGTTGTGCCCACCATCCACCGGGCGGGCCGCCCTTGAAGCGCAAACGAGAACGCCGCTACAAAATCTGGTTGGACGATCACGTCCGAACCCGACCGAACCCGCTTCCACGAAGCGAAGCGGAAACACCAGGCGTTTAATGTTTAACCCCTGCGTTGAAGGATTTTTCACGGCAACAAAAGGAGCTGAAGACTGGAAGACTGACAGCAAGATTGATGTCAATCAATCACCGATGTGCAATCGATACTGGTTGGTGGTTCCAAACATTTTTTATTTTTCACAATATATGGGATTATCCTTCCCATTGACGAACTCATATGTTTCATATGTTGGTTATTACTAACCATGACTTTCACCATGAAAATCACCATCATTAACCATTACTAACCATCAATCACCATGCTTAAAACATGTTAAAACCACCAGGATATCATGTGGGCCCCGCCTTTGTTTTCTCTAGGTGAACCATCCGGTCACCAATGACATCCAGACCCGGCAGTACAGATCACCTGAGGCAGGGCGGACAGGTGTCCGAATATGGGAGGGAGGTATACCTTATATCAGATACCCATAAGATGCGAAGATGGGAGAAAACTGGGTAAATCAATTATATATATTATATATTCATGAAATTTGGGGCTTCTCCAGTTTAAACAAGTTTGTTTTCAGACACCATTTGAGATATCCTATAGTGTTCCTGGGAACCTTTCCCATAGGTAACTAGGCCTTGGTTCCGGAAACTATATGTTTGGTTACCTGTCCCAAAGGTAATATTCAAAGGTTAGGGATATTTAATATTCAAATGGACTCTAGAAATCGTCCCCCCAATGTTACCAGCCTGCAGGTCATCATTGGCGCTGCTTGGGACGAAACTGCCGACGTTCGGAGCTCGGGAGCTGGTCAGCCAATAGTGTCTGAGGCCTGGATGATACCCCGAAATGTAGACCCAAATCAGGTAAAAACAGGTAAAATCTATAAATATGATACCTCCAAATTGATGATTGTTTTCGTCGATTTTATTCATCGTTGGTAATGACATTAGAATATATAGGCCTAAAATCCTAGAAAATCCTAGGAATGTCCCTTGAACCAAGTCTATTCACTTCTCAGATGGTCAGCTTCCCATTTCTCCAAAATGTATTCAAGGTGTGGAGTGCTGCGTGCATGTTCTTCGAACTCGCGACCGGAGAATTCCTCTTTGACCCCAAAAAACAGAAGGGGGATGTGCCGAGCTCAGATTTGTTGCATTTTTTGAACTTTGAGGATGTGATTTGGGGATGTGATATTTGTGGGGGATTCTGAAAATGTTTGGAGGATCGCCCGAAAAAATGTTTTTTTATGACATTCAAACCAGCATTTTGAGAGTGTGACGTGGCTTTCTTGTAGTTTTGGAGGCTTCCCAAACGAATATGTAATATGTATGTTTTTGTCCTACGGAATGCCAACATTTTTTTTGAGATATTTTTGGGATCCCTCATTTGGAAAACCTGAGAACTCCCCATGTGCCATGGACTATGCGAAGACTTTAGTGAAATGGCGAAGAGTTGGTGACAGCCTGTATGATCCTGTAAAAAACACCGCGGAGATAGTTTCTGGTAATTTAACATAGCATGGCCATTTATAGTGAATTTTCCTAGTTATGTTAGTTTACCAGAGGCTAGTTTCTCTGGATTTTCAAATATTTTCAATTGTCTCTTAATTTTTGGGCAACATTTTGTGCACAGCTGGCCTCGTCATGACAGGTCTTGTAACCCTTGGCAATGCATGTCAACCATGTTTTCCACAACGCATTCTGCGGCACAGAGTGTGAGTTTTGCGTGGCCAGATCACTGTGTTCAGAAAAGTTCGTAATATGGGGGTGGGTCGGAAGCATTCAAAAGCGTCCTGGGTGGATGAACGTCCAGCTATATCAGGTCTAGACTCTAGACGGTCTAGATATATATGTTTGCAGCGTCTCGGCACATCAAAAGGATCATGCCAAGGATCAAGAAGGTAATAGAAACATATAGAAACCATATGAAACGACTGCATCGTAACAATAGCATCTAGCTAAGTTGTTTCACAATAATGTGGGTAAAACAATAATAAACCACCACATGTTTTAAATGTTTTTTTTTTTCCACTAATAAAAATGGTGATGACTGGGGGATGGTGCAAATGGCATTGTTTTATATACCCACATTATAAACCATCCCCCAAATATAAACAATAATAAACCATAAAATATTATATGCTATTATTGCTATATAGCAATGGCATTGGCAAGTCAGGACTGGGACCGAGATGAAGATCACTTGGCACTCGTCGCAGAATTGCTGGACGGTCTGCCTGACAAGGAGCGCGTTGGCGGCGGTGCAGCTGGGGATCAAAGTTGTGTAACCAGGAGAAACCATGGAAAAAAAACCCATAGGTTGTGAGGGATGAACATTTATATCATATTATATCTACAAATTATCTATACATGACATATTATATCATATATTATATATACAATATATTATATTTATTTATTTATTATACATGCATATACATCCATCAAAACCTGAGAAAAATATTCATCGTTGGGAAATGAAGATCACGTGTTAAACACGGCGGGCTTCCATTTTGACCGCCGACGTCTGAGGACTTCTGCTTGTCTGGAAAGTATTCCAAGGCGTCGGACGGTGTGTGGGTGTTTGGTAATGTGGATAATGTGGTATGTACCCGGCCTGGTAATGACTCACAGTTTGCGACATTGAACATGGCCATATATAGAAATAGTGGATTTACCCAGCTATAAAATGCTGGATCTTTCCATGTTCAAGGTTACCAGAGGATACCAGAGGGTATGTTTCACTATCATACATCGAATCTACATGACACAGATGTGAAAGGTTCACATGTGGATCGGATCGGATCTTCCCCATCTTCCGGGCCGTGCCGCAGTGCCCGGGCACTCGATGTCTTGCTGACAGGATTTCTTCAACAACTCGGGCAAGCTGAAACACATCAAGAACTTCAAGCCGTCTCCGCCTGGTTTCGGAGTTGGACCCAGAAATCTGGGATTTGTTTGGTCCAAGATGTCCAAGATGTCCATGTTTTATGGATGAAAATGGGCATCATTTTCCCCATCATGGCTGCAAAATTTTGCCAGAACATAGCAAACCAGTCATAGCTGTGTATGGATATTATTAGGATCACTACGAAATAGCTTTTTGGACCTAAACTGGGTAGTTGATCCTGTCAACATCTTTCAACTACCATCAACTCGTGATGCTTTTTTTTTTGGTTGTCCCCACAGCCGCTTTAAAGCTTGGGACAGAGAAACTCGGCGCACATGATGCACGGTGAAATCCAAAAAGGGCTTGAACTTTCCATGGGATTTCACCATGGTGAAACCCCATGGCACCTTTCCCAAATCCATGGCATCCATTGTTGAACCATGGTGAAACCCGGATATAATATACCTATATTAAAAATTATATAAACCTGGATATACCTATATAAAAATACCAATAGAAAATCCTAGAAACAAAAATTCACACATAATTTTTCAAGATCCCAGTCCTGGCAGCTTCATCTCCGCCGAAGCCAGGATGTGGCCCTTGTTTGGCGTTCTCAATGAAAAATATCTCTTCTCCGAAGAAGACGCCAAAGAGGCGCGCGACCCGCCATAGTTTTCTGAGCAGAATTTCCATCGAATTTGTGTTCAAATCTTGGAATTTCCATAGAATTTCCATATTTCCATAGAATTTCCATAGAATTTCCATGTGTAACCAGAATTTGAAGAGCTGTGACATGATCTCAACATTTTTTTGTCCGATCTGTCTGCGGAGATGACATGCCCTGACGACCAAATGATTCAAATAGCCTGGTATGTCAGACATTGTCAGACACATTGGGCCTGGCAAAATCCAAAAAAAAAACGGTGTTTAATGCGTTCTCGGTTTTGAGCCATGTCCTAAATTTAGGTAAGCCATTTAAGGTAAACGTTAACGAACTGGAAAGATCCAGCATGCTATGAAAATGGGTAAATCCACTATAACTCGACTGGGCCATGGCTTCAATAGCAAACTGTTAGTCATTACCAGAGGGTAAGCCATTTGGTCCAAAAAATGTGTTGCCTCCGTTTTTTGAGTTTCGGATCTAAACATGTGGGTGTAACCAGTACCGAAAATTGGTGAAAATTGGCTTCCCCAATCTGATGGTAAAATAATCTACCAGGGCATTTCCATGTCAATCCATTGAGTTTTCCAAAAAACATGACCCATCAGCAATTGGACTTTCTTGCATTCGAAAAAAAAAAAAAAAAACTAAATCAACACAGATCCATACACATCTCATGTTTTTTCATCGGGCTCCTATTTGTATCTAAAAAATGGTAATTATCCCGAACAGCAAGTCATATCATCATTCTCCCCCATTCTTTGGAGGGTCATAAACTGGGGGCCCGTCACACGAGACGACCCTACATCATATTCTTGGTGATGTTTCATCAGTTCATCCTATCATCCCGAGCACCGTGAACCCTGAAGTTATGGTCATGGCAAATCCAATTACATCCAATTGAATCCAATGAATGTGGTTAAAACAATGCCATTTGCACCATCCCCCAGTCATCACCATTTTTATAGGTAGTATAAACATTATAAACCATTCCCAAATGGGTGGTTTATTATTGTTTTAACCTGCATAACCACATAAAATCCATTATCTCCTGCTATGACATGGTGGATAAGAATTTGATTTTTTAAAGGTGCCCCCCATGATTTCCCCCATGTTTTCCCTACGGAGTCCTTGCGTTTACACGTCGCGATGCTTCGTGTCCCTAGGGTCATGCGTTGTAACCCAGTGTTCCGTTGGAAATTGTTACAATTTTATGCCAATAATGATCTACAGAATCTGTAAAAACCCATGCAGAATATGAGATCTATGTTGAGATCATGTGCAGATTTGAAGTGCATGGTAGCGGTGTTCCAATACAGAAGGCACAATTGACATTGCATGATTCGTAGATTTTGGCACTATCCCGACATATGAAACACGACCAGAGTTCCACTTTTGAACATGAAAGGACTTGGTCTTAGCAGCCTTAGCAGTATTGCAACGCAGGTTCAGTTGTACTGTGGTGAGAACTGCCCCGGACTGTGATGAGATCATTGACGGTGTTCCATGGGGATTTTGGTGAGATTGCTGATTTTTCTTGTGTCACAAAGGCCCGCCTCGTGTGTTTGCCCATGGTTGTCCTTAAGATTTTCCCTAAGATTTTCCCTACGATTTTCCCTAAGATTTTTCCCTAAGATTTTCCATAGGATCTTCCCACATGTTTCCCACATGTTTCCCACGGTGTTCCTCATGCGAACTGCCGCAGATGTGCGACTTCTTGTTGCCCATGTTGGCCTGGAAGCCAGCCGAGCGGCAAGCGGCCAGTGAGGTGGGATCAAGGGATTGTTTGTTTTTTTTTGGGGGGTACCCCAACTGGTTGGTGGTGACTGGAACCATGGAATTTTCTGGTAGATATATTATGATATATTGACAAACTTACTATGGGAATATTAATAATACTAATATGGGCATATCATATATAATATACCTGGTCGGTGGTGACTGGAACCATGGAATGGATTATGACTTTCCATTCAGTTGGGAATGAAAAATCATCCGGTCCCAACTGACTTTCACTCCATCATTTTTCAGAGGGGTAGGTCAACCACCAACCAGCCAATGATTAGATGGTGAAAATATATGAAAATACTAAAGATACTGCACTAAGTCATCTGTCCCGTTTTGCCGAATTTGTTTGACTATCCAATCTGGAGATTTCTGGGGTATCGTGGGAGTTCTGGAGGTTATGTGGTGATTATTATAATTTACCACGATAGTCACGATAGTTCATTAATATACCATTATATCAATATCCCATTTATGCACAGTCATATATTATAGTGGGAGAATAGATGATAAAATTGGGATATATAAATATCAGCCATTGGGATATCTTGGGATAGTAGTTTACTAATTAATATAATGTGGGAAACCCAATGCTATACACCTACGATGACAGGCGATCATATTTGCCGCCCATCTATATATTGGTTTAGGGGGTGGTGTGTGTATACCCATTATATCAATCCCATTGATGAACAGTGATATAATATATGAGACATTTATTGGGACATTACAGTGATCCCAATATCCCATTAGTTGATAGTTACATAAAGAATACATAAATACATATATATATATATGTATATATAATGTATATATATATATTCTATAAGGTACTAGTTATATCATAGTTATTGTTAATATTTATTTATATCCCAATATATCAATATCCCAGAATATCCCATATAAACTATAAACATACGTGAGATTCATAGTTCAGGCGATGATTTGGATGATTTTCTCAAGGGGAAATCCACTAGACGTCGGGAATCTGTTTTGGGCATCTGTTTTTTGTTTTTTGGTGGTTTCTCATAAGCAGCTCCAAGGATTTTGTGGGATTTCATGAGGGATAAAAACAACTTCGGGTGAGATTCGCACATTTAGTTCGTTGACTTATATAGCTATTATAATTAAAGATGGTGATTTTCCAGTTCGCTATGCTAGTTGACCAGAGGGTATGAATGTTTTTCTAGTTCCATCATGTCTAGATATTCTATGATTTGGTCCACCGTTTTTGATGGGTGCCCTCCGGTCGTGGCAATTGAACATCCACCATTTACGAACCAACACGAATCGACACACACAAACCGGAACGAACCAGCTATAAAGCTCCATTTACAGATGAATTTCAAGCCACGTTTCATTACCGGATGGTGCCCCCATCATTTTCCATTCAACAGATAATTGTTCATTTAACCTTGGTTCATCTGAAAACTCTTACAACCTCAAAAATTTCCATTGAACAACCCCTATAATGTTCCATTTAACCTTGATTTGTCTACCATTTTTCATGTTGAAAACCCTTAAGAAAAAAACCCCAATTTTTCCGATGGTCAGGCGTTGAAGCACTCCTGGGTGCAGCTGACCGAGGCTGAGCTGGATGTCAGAGGCCTCAGATGGCTGCAGATGCTGATACTTTCCATCTGCATCAATGATATCATGGTTAATAATGATCCATAGTCAGGATATCAATGGTTTATAAATATTATCATGAATATCAATGGTTAATAATTAACATTTAGATCTGGGTTAATAAAGGAATCCTGGAATCATGGTTTTTATATGGGAAATCATTCCCTTTTATGGCCGAACTATTCAGGTTAGTGAAATATTATATATAATTTACCCAGATAGATGGTTTTTGTTGTCAACTACTTGATGTTTAGCAGTTTGTCAGCTAATGCTGTTTGGCAGCTATAGCAGATTTCTCAGTTTCTAATCATGATGTTCGTCAGTTTTTTTTTACCAGCAAAAAAAACGGAAAAACACATCTCTGAACATCATTATTTGACAAAACTGATGAACAGAGGTGTTTTTGCCCATGTTGCCCCATGTTTCCCCATGTTGTTATAATGATGGCCCACTATATGAACATGATTACCCATGACGGATCCATGGTGCTGCTATATATGGTGCTCCATGGATCCCATCAATATACCCCCTTTATGTTAGCAAAAAAATACCAGCACCATGGATCCTATGGGTTACCCTCTGGTAATTTAACATAGCTATTGAAAATGACCATAGAAATAGTGGATTTTCCCATTCATCATGGTGATTTTCCATAGTTATGTAACAGTTTACCAAAGGGTAAACCTCCATTTTCCTATGGTTTTCCTATGGTTTTCCCATTGAAACCTCCATTTTTTGCCCCATGGGGAAGCCGTGGCCACGGACGTCCCGCAAGCGGCGCAACCGAGGAGTACGTCAAGGCCGAGCCGCCGGAGCCGGAGGCCACGGCGCCCACGGAGGCCACGGAGGCGCCGAGCACGGCGGAGAGTCCCGAGTCGCCGGAGCAGGTGCAGCGACGGAGCTGCGAATGGATCAACAGTGATATATAATGCTATAGACTGGTTGGTGGTTTCAAGCATTTTTTATTTTCCATAATATATGGGATGATATGGGATGATCAATGGGATGATCAATGGGATGATCAATGGGATGATCAATGGGATGATATGGGATGATATGGGATGATACAGGATGATATGGGATGATATGGGATGATATGGGATGATATGGGATGATACAGGATGATATGGGATGATATGGGATGATATGGGATGATATGGGATGATATGGGATGATATGGGATGATATGGGATGATATGGGATGATACGGGATGATATGGGATGATATGGGATGATATGGGATGATATGGGATGATATGGGATGATATGGGATGATATGGGATGATATGGGATGATATGGGATGATATGGGATGATATGGGATGATATGGGATGATATGGGATGATATGGGATGATATGGGATGATACGGGATGATATGGGATGATATGGGATGATATGGGATGATATGGGATGATATGGGATGATATGGGATGATATGGGATGATATGGGAATGATATGGATGATACAGGGAATGAATACAGGATGATACAGGATGATATGGGATGATATGGGATGATCAATGGGATGATCAATGGGATGATCAATGGGATGATCAATGGGATGATATGGGATGATATGGGATGATACAGGATGATATGGGATGATATGGGATGATATGGGATGATATGGGATGATACAGGATGATATGGGATGATATGGGATGATATGGGATGATATGGGATGATATGGGATGATATGGGATGATATGGGATGATATGGGATGATACGGGATGATATGGGATGATATGGGATGATATGGGATGATATGGGATGATATGGGATGATATGGGATGATATGGGATGATATGGGATGATATGGGATGATATGGGATGATATGGGATGATATGGGATGATATGGGATGATATGGGATGATATGGGATGATACGGGATGATATGGGATGATATGGGATGATATGGGATGATATGGGATGATATGGGATGATATGGGATGATATGGGATGATACAGGATGATATGGGATGATATGGGATGATATGGGATGATATGGGATGATACAGGATGATATGGGATGATATGGGATGATATGGGATGATATGGGATGATATGGGATGATACAGGATGATATGGGATGATATGGGATGATATGGGATGATATGGGATGATACAGGATGATATGGGATGATATGGGATGATATGGGATGATACAGGATGATATGGGATGATATGGGATGATATGGGATGATATGGGATGATATGGGATGATACAGGATGATATGGGATGATATGGGATGATATGGGATGATATGGGATGATATGGGATGATATGGGATGATACAGGATGATATGGGATGATATGGGATGATATGGGATGATATGGGATGATATGGGATGATATGGGATGATATGGGATGATATGGGATGATATGGGATGATACAGGATGATATGGGATGATATGGGATGATATGGGATGATATGGGATGATATGGGATGATATGGGATGATACAGGATGATATGGGATGGAATATGGGATGATACAGGATGATATGGGATGTAGGGGATGATATGGGATGATATGGGATGATATGGGATGATATGGGATGATATGGGATGATATGGGATGATATGGGATGATATGGGATGATATGGGATGATACCGGATGATATGGGATGATATGGGATGATACAGTATGATATGGGATGATATGGGATGATATGGGATGATATGGGATGATACAGGATGATATGGGATGATATGGGATGATATGGGATGATATGGGATGATACAGGATGATATGGGATGATATGGGATGATATGGGATGATATGGGATGATATAGGATGATATGGGATGATATGGGATGATATGGGATGATATGGGATGATATGGGATGATACAGGATGATATGGGATGATATGGGATGATATGGGATGATATGGGATGATATGGGATGATACAGGATGATATGGGATGATATGGGATGATATGGGATGATATGGGATGATACAGGATGATATGGGATGATATGGGATGATATGGGATGATATGGGATGATACAGGATGATATGGGATGATATGGGATGATATGGGATGATATGGGATGATATGGGATGATATGGGATGATATGGGATGATACAGGATGATATGGGATGATATGGGATGATACAGGATGATAATGGGGATGATATGGGATGATATGGGATGATATGGGATGATATGGGATGATACGGGATGATACGGGATGATATGGGATGATATGGGATGATATGGGATGATATGGGATGATATGGGATGATATGGGATGATATGGGATGATATGGGATGATATGGGATGATACAGGATGATATGGGATGATATGGGATGATATGGGATGATATGGGATGATACAGGATGATATGGGATGATATGGGATGATATGGGATGATATGGGATGATATGGGATGATATGGGATGATACAGGATGATATGGGATGATATGGGATGATATGGGATGATATGGGATGATACAGGATGATATGGGATGATATGGGATGATATGGGATGATATGGGATGATATGGGATGATATGGGATGATACAGGATGATATGGGATGATATGGGATGATACAGGATGATATGGGATGATATGGGATGATATGGGATGATATGGGATGATATGGGATGATATGGGATGATATGGGATGATATGGGATGATATGGGATGATACAGGATGATACAGGATGATATGGGATGATATGGGATGATATGGGATGATATGGGATGATACAGGATGATATGGGATGATATGGGATGATATGGGATGATATGGGATGATACAGGATGATATGGGATGATATGGGATTATATGGGATGATATGGGATGATACAGGATGATATGGGATGATATGGGATGATATGGGATGATATGGGATGATATGGGATGATATAGGATGATATGGGATGATATGGGATGATATGGGATGATATGGGATGATATGGGATGATATGGGATGATATGGGATGATATGGGATGATACCGGATGATATGGGATGATATGGGATGATACAGTATGATATGGGATGATATGGGATGATATGGGATGATATGGGATGATACAGGATGATATGGGATGATATGGGATGATATGGGATGATATGGGATGATACAGGATGATATGGGATGATATGGGATGATATGGGATGATATGGGATGATATGGGATGATATGGGATGATATGGGATGATACAGGATGATATGGGATGATATGGGATGATATGGGATGATATGGGATGATACGGGATGATACGGGATGATATGGGATGATATGGGATGATATGGGATGATATGGGATGATATGGGATGATATGGGATGATATGGGATGATACAGGATGATACAGGATGATATGGGATGATATGGGATGATACGGGATGATACGGGATGATATGGGATGATATGGGATGATATGGGATGATATGGGATGATATGGGATGATACGGGATGATACGGGATGATATGGGATGATCAATGGGATGATCAATGGGATGATCAATGGGATGATCAATGGGATGATCAATGGGATGATCAATGGGATGATCAATGGGATGATCAATGGGATGATCAATGGGATGATCAATGGGATGATCAACAGGATGATCAATGGGATGATCAATGGGATGATCAACAGGATGATCAATGGGATGATCAACAGGATGATCAATGGGATGATCAACAGGATGATCAACAGGATGATCAACAGGATGATCAACAGGATGATCAACAGGATGAAAGATGGGATGAAAGATGCTGGTTGGTGGTGACTGGAACCATGGAATTTTTTATGACTTTCCATATATGGGATAGTCCGAAACCCATTGACGAACTCATATGTTTCAAGATGGTTAAAACCACCAACCAGGATGGCATATGGATTATCAACGGATCCGAAGTTAGACATTGGTTTAATATATGGTTATACAGTGATATCAATTGGTTGACTAATGTGGGTAAAACAATGCCATAAACCATCCATGATTGAGAATGACAAGTCTATACCACATAAAAATTGTGATTTGGGGAATGGTTAATTATTGTTTTACCCACATTAAATAGTCAACCATATTTGATAGTACTGGGTCACATTTTCATCAAATTTGAAGTGATGGTGTGATACTGGGTCCAAAAAAAAATCAATAAGGAATTTAAAATGAGTGTCAACAGTTATAGTCTAATGAATATTTGAATCAACGGTGCTGTAGTACATGGTAATATAATATATTCTAATACTATCTATGATATTGGAACGTGGTATTGTACTGTGAGATGAGGAAAGCAATAGGATAATAAGTCATCCCCAATGGTAACACCCACGGTTGTAGCTGGTATAAAGCATCAACATATGGGCGGTTTATTGTTATTTTACCAACATTAGTAAACTCAGTGTAGTAGTCTCTCTATCTCTATATATAATATTATATTGGGATTCAACAATCAAGCTTAAGGGTACTGTTGTAGTAGTCGAATAAGTCTTCTATATAGCATACGTACTTGTATTGCATCAGTATTACTTGTATACTTGTCGACATTTCTTGAATGCGGTTCTTGATTTAGATGATTTTGGATTTCCCACCTACGCTGTAATGACATTTAATCACTGTATGATCCGTCATGATCATGTATGATCTGTATGTGCGCTGTGCTGCTGCCCCTGGTGGTCGTCCCTGAAACCCATACGGACCCGCTCCCAGGTCTGATGAGCTCAGTGCTTTCTGCTAAAGCTCTGGTGTGCTCGGAAAAAAATCTTCGCTCCTCATGCTTCTGTGAGAGGACGGAAGAAATGATTGAGGATTTGTGGGAATCGAAGCAAACTGAAAGGTTGCCTTGAAACTGATGATAATGCTGATGTTTCATAAGCAGACTAGGGGCTGTGAGTCTTATGTCAACAGTATAAAGGACCAGATAGGAACACTCGCTCACGGTGTTTTCACGCGTATCTTTTGGAATTTGGCACAGTGATCCTTTGAGTAGGCAGCTGTTTGAGCTCAAATTCCTATGGATCATTTGCTCGTGCCTAAAGCGACTAGAACGACTTGACTAGTGGTCGAAAAAGGTTTCAAAAAAGACAGGTCACTGCGACATTCCCTGTGACTGCATGCAAATTCTGTATTCTGGAAATTCCTCCACACCACACTTCTGCTGGAAAACACCTGGCTTTATTAGACAATAGGGTACCCTAAATCCACTAGTGTATGATGTTTATCATCATGTCCCCAAAAAAAGGATTGCCATTTTGGCAGAATTCCCATTGTCAGACGCATCCAAAGACCACAATAGGGTGACAAGCTAGACGACCTTATTATCCCCATAGAACATCCACAGTTTTTGACACATATTCCGTCATATTCCCATGATTTCCATTGATTTCCCTTGATTATTCCCATGATTTCCCATGAAAAAATCGCTTCACGTCCCGTTCGTCCCCCCTGACGTTCCTGACTTCCGATGGCGCGGCGCTGCCGGCTTTCGCAGCCGCTTCGATGCGCAGCCTGACGGTGGCTATGCTATATATGGTGTGCCATGGATCCCATCAATATACCCCCTTTATATGTTAGCAAAAAAATAGCAGCACAGTTAGGATCCGTCATGGGTAAGTCATGGGGGTACCCCAAGTTATCCAGAAATCTGGAATGTCCATGAACTAATCCATCCAGCTATTGGGGAGTGATTTAATGTGATTTACCGAATTGGGAATTTTTGTAGCTGGATGGACTAGTTCATGGAAAATCCTACCAAATGGATTATTTTGGTTTGGGGTACCAATATTTTAGGAAACCTCCAGATGAGTTGTATAAAGAATATGATCTTTACCAGACAAAACCATGCATTGCTGCAGATTCGCGCAGAGGGATGAATGAAACGACTGAAAAACCTCTTAAGTTGTTCATGTTTTTGACAGAAGATCTTTGAAAAGGAAAAGAAGGTTAGTCAGGTTAGTTGACATCCGTAAACATATCCATACTTTGGCAGGGTCAAAAAATGGTTTCGCTGGAAAAATCGGTGCACTAAGGTGCTGGGTTTCCTGGCTGCAGCATCGATGTATCCATGGGTCGTAGCTGTGGGGAGCTTTAAGGGTAGCTGCTTGGAGCCTCCCTGGGCTCACACACACACACACACACTGCTTGGTGACCAGATTCAGGCAACTTGAGTTTCTTGCATTTGTATCCGATTGAACAGTCCTTCAAAATTGGTTCGTTGTTGAACATTGTTTAATGACTTCTCGCCTACCCAAGCGTTATTAAAGTTGCCAATTTAGGGTGCCCCTTATTTTTGGACACCCCCAAGAAGCATGTTAAGTTTGTTATATACCCCTTATACCCCCATGATATTTCCAGTATTATCATATAAAGTAGTGCCCCAATTTTCATAGTCACCCAAATGTCATATTGTTGATTATTGTTGACCACATGTTGCATGTATTCGATTATATTCCACTTTATCCCACCATATCCCATGATAGTCCCATTTTTGTTGGTTAAATCACCAAATATCTAAACGTGATCACCACCTCCCTGCAAGCTCACTGGAAAGATGATTAGAGTGATTAGAGATAACTATCCACATTCAGCCTTACTTCAGGTGAGTGATTTCATATTGGGTTTTATATTGGGTTTCAGCCCAATTTCATAAACTACCCCCAAGACATCAGCATTTTTATGGCTATAAACCATCCCCACATGACAAGTATTACCACACTCGATTTTATGATGGTTTAGTTGAACTTAGTTGTAATAATCATGGGGTTATTATGGGATATTATGGGGATTATTATGGGGATTATTATGGGGATAAACCACCAAAAAATAAATCCCAAGAATCTTCTGAGTTTACCCAGATTCATCGAAGGCCTGGCCTCCTTCGCTCTTTGGCCCTGGAATCGTGAAGTCAGAGATGCGATCCGCGATAGCCTTCAGATGTGGATGGGAGGTGCAGCCCGAAGCTCGTTGTGAGTCTTGCCCAGAAATACCAATAGGATCCAGCATTTTTAGGGCAGTTGAAACATGGAGGCACTAGATGTTTGAGCATCTTTGTGTCCCTAGGCAGGTGATTTCGAAATGTTTCCGAGTGAATTAAACCATCTAAGTACATCTAAGAACTGTTTTTATTTGTTTTTCTAGGTATAATGATGTATAATGTACATTGATATACCATGATATACCATAATATACCAATAGTTACCCATATATTATAATTCACTAACCCAGTGGCAGTCTCAAATTTCTGAGAAGATCTCGACCAGGTGGAGGGTTCGAGAAGGACTTCGCGGTTGGGATACCCTGTGCCATCAAAGATGGTTACCTTGCGGGGGTGCCATGTAGGAATATCACCACTTATACCCCCTAAAAAATATGGGATATTTGGGGATTATAGGGGTATATGATGTTATATATAATTATATAAACCACTTACGATTCGTGGGACATCCAAGTAGAAAATATCTACAGACTCTCGGACTTTCCCAACCATAAACACTATTATCTAGACGATGTTCCTTTGCCATGGTTGATTACAGGAGGGTAGGTATGATTAGTAGATGAGTTTCATGTTCAGCAAATCCAAGTTTTGCCTCCAATTTCTTTAAGACTGGTAGACCTTTTTCAGTTCGTTTTTCGCATCAAAAACCAGGTCAACAACCATATTTTTTTCAGGGTGCCACATTTTGCGGGATAAACATGATTGCCCTCCGGTGTCATCAAACATGACTGGAAAATCCAGAAAATCATATAGATATTCTATAGATATCATCTATAGATATCATCTATAGAAAATCTATAGATATTCTATAGATATCTATAGATATTCTATAGATGATGTTGCCTTTAAGCCATATGAACACCTCCCCTTTATTTCAACGGATTGGCTGGCGGATGTTCCAGCCATCTGACCTTTTTTATGACCTGCGAGGATCTGTGTCCCATGCCCAACGGAGTCGTTGAAGAGCGTGCGACGCTGCGACCGTTGACAAAGTGGAGAAAGTTTAGTATCCGGTTTTGTTGGATACTCTTGATGATCATGTTGATAATAGTATTGATGTTCATTTGTATGATAATTATATATCTATCTATATATATATATATGGATATATAGATAGATGGTGTATTGTGGTGTTGTCGCATCCCCTAGGCCCTGGCTTTGGTTCACAGGCCTTCCGCCTTCGTCGCCAGGTCATGTGGATTCTTTGGAAGTTCTGCTGGCTGAGGCACTTTTTTCGGGAGCATCACTGGTGGTTTCAGACGTGGTAACTGGATGAGGTATAATATATATATACATATATATATATATATATGGGTAAATTATAACGACCTCACTGCGACCGAGCCCTGGAATCATAGTTACTGTCATAAGGTGAATCATCCCATTTTATGGCCTTAATTCAGGTTAGTGAAATATTATAATGTACCCACATATATATATATATATATTGTATATATTCCGTTTATATTCCATATAATGTGATTAAAACAATAATAAACCATCCCATTGTTGATGGTTTATACCACCCATTTATGGTGAATTTTGGGGTTTATTATTGTTTTAACCACATTATTCCATATGTTGTTTGTTATATTATGATCATGATCTCTATATATATATATATGATTATGATGATGAGGCTTGATGATGATGATCCAATTATGAATTATAGATATTGTTGGTATGAGTTGCTATCGGTATGATTTGCTATCTATTATTAGGATGATGAGGATGATGATGATGATGATGATCATGATGATGATGATGATGATGATGATGCTGATGCTGATGCTGATGCTGATGGTGGTGGTGGTGGCGGTGGTGGCGGTGGTGGTGGTGGTGGTGATTCCAACTCATAGTCATAATTTTCAGAGTGAAACCGCAATTCCGCATGTCAATTTAGCCACTTCGCAATGAATTCTGAAATGTCTTGAGCTTGCAATGTCTGCAGGAACATTGCCCTTTTGTGGCGGCATTTTTCTCCAGCTCTTCCCCTCTCTCTCAGACTCCAGAGCTGGTTGCTTGCCATCAACAGCCACGACATGCCACGACCCATCCCAGGGGGTCCCCCCGGATAACATGGATTTGATCGTTGTTCGCTAAGGCTCTGACTGAGCAAAGGCTTGCAACATCTTTCCCGACGGTCCGATATGTATCTTGTCGTTTTTTCAGCTGATATAATTGAAATCTCTATAAGGTGAGGCCCCAGAAAAAGAATCGCTAAGTTGATGCACTCACAACTTGGTGAATTCTATGCTTAAGGTTTGGGGGATATAACGAACTAGTTCCTATTAATTGATCGGGTTTATCAACCAAGAAGCATCGCATTTGGCGATGTAATGAGTTTTTCCATGGACATGATGGACCTAGGTGAGAGTGGAGACGGAGTACATGACCATCAGATCCTTTCTTCAGTTGCTTGGCGATCACAGGGGATGTTCCAGCCATGTTTCATTACCGGAGGGTATGTCTTGACAGGAATCGGTGGCCCAAGATTAAGTTGTGTAGGTTTTTTGGAGCCATCTTGGCATGGACCGAAGCTATCCAGTTCCATCATTAATCGGAACCCTCAAACAAGACAACTAGATAATGTATTAGGATTGCTTTCATGTATCATGTCAATAAAGATGCAGTTTGTTTTGATCATGGTCTGTTTCACAGTGAAATTATATGATCACACTATAGCCCTTCAGCTTCCAGTCTTCCCCATGGCTTTACGGCGTCTGACCGAGGTGGGATATTTCCTTCCTTCCGACCTACGTCCTGTTCTGGCCGGGCAAAGAAGGCGGAACCAAAGGATGGCATCGCTGGACGGGAAAAGGTGCCAACCCCTATGATGCTTGGCTTCGCCATAATTCGCCAACCAGGATGTTTGATCCGAACAATTGGGGGATGGCTGGATAAAATACGCTGATTCTGTTCGACCATGTCTTCGCAGCACCGAATTCTAAGAAAAGTTCACAGAACGGAAAGTTATATATAGCAGCTTGGTGCTTCTTGTTCCTCCCGGGTACAACAGTTAAATTTGATTGATAGTGCTTTGATACTTTGTTGTTTGGGTGTGTTGACTATATTGATTTAATTTGATTTATATATTGATATAGGTTTCGGTTGGGGAATACGCTACTTGTACTTAAACGACCATTCAATAGGTGTATATTTGTGGACCCTCCAAGTACCCACACACAAAAAAATGATATTTACTGTTTTACGCCGGAATTTAGTACAGTACTTTTACTCATGTTTGATGGGTGCTTGGAGGGTCTAGGTATATATAATAGGTAAATATATATATATGTCAGATTTCTTTGCTGAGCGGTTGTTTTCAACATGAAAGCAGCCGGCGGCACCGCTGCCTCACGAGGATTACAGTGAAGTTTCGTCGTGGATTTCGGAAGTCACAGGTGCCAAATGGGTAGCTCTGAAAATGTGGTAAAAAAGAAAACGTACGTACCATTAAATACCTCCACAAATGCCTATTTTTGGGGGATATGGGATGATTAAATATGATGAAGCCATTGACTTGGGATTCGGGATACACCATTGTCAACGCCAGATCTATTCATTGATGAATCACTGATGAATTGATGACGTGAAGCTCAGATGAATCATAGATTCATCATTGATTGATCATAGATGAATCATGGATCACCCTGGAAATCTGCCCAGGGCTGCAGCCGCAGAACACTTCGGTGGCCACAACGGGTCCACCGTTGCTTCCCCGGGGCTCGCAGAAAGCCTCGTCGGCCTGGCTGGTCATTGCCTGGACACTGGTCACTTAGCGAAACGTTGGACACGGGTCGACATGGGTAACTTGGTGGGAAGTTGGGCTTCGAATCCCATCATCCGTTCATATGAAACACCCCAAAAAAGCATGGTCCGGAATGTGGAAATTCTCTACATCCACCATGGTTTCGTTTGGGGCGTGTTGAATATGAACGGGGGAAGGGATTGCCGGGCTTCAGAATGCGGTCACGCTTCAGGACGAAGATGGAAGGCAGCATTTCTATGCGTTTCTTCGATGTTTCTACGATGTTCCGTAATCATCTGTTTACCCTCTGGTAAACTAACATAACTATGGAAAATCACCATTTTTAATGGGTAAATCAACTATAAATGACAATTTTCAGTGGCTATGTTAGTTTATCATCTGTGGAATCCGTGTACCATTTCTGTCGATTCGGGCCACTGAACATATGAGCGACTTCCCAATGGGCTGCTGACACCGACTTCCCAAGGTGGCGTTGGCTGTTTTGCATCGAACTCTGAACTGGCAACCCATCTTCGGCAGATAACGAAACGGCCATGTTGCGAAATGACCATTGGCTGTGGTTGCATGGTGCCAGACCCTGTTCTTGCCTTACATAGATTATCATAGATGATATTGTTCTTGTTGCTGCGGCACATATACATTGCCATAGATCGCTCCATGTGTCAATGGGAATTTCAGGATCCTAAAATGGAGGTACTGTACCATATAAGGCCATATTTTGGGGGGATATTCCCTTACATAGGCCTGAAAAATAGGCCTTATATATGGTAGGTACCTCCAATTTAGGTTCCTGAAATGGCCATTGAATGTGACAGTGGCACCTTTTCATTTGAAGTTCTTAAGAATGACTGGGTGCTGGCTTTCATTGTTTTGTTATATTTTGTTTATGCTCTTGGGACGATACTCCCAACTGATATCGAATTAAAACCACCAAGTTTTCGAACCAGGCAAAAAAAAAACGCTGTGAATTGTGAAAAATAAGTACGTCATAGACTTGGAAAATCAAGGAGCTTGAAGCCCTGTTCAAAAATCCCATGAATCATGGCTCAAGCCGCTCAAACCCAGCCACTGGAAGCTGCTACCGCGCTTTCTTCAAAGATGGCGATGACTCTTGGCAACCAGGGTATGTAGGTTTCGTACCAGTAGGTACCCACTTGGTAGCATGAAGTATGATGACATTCCATCTGCATTTCCAATGTTTTTGTTGCTTTAGGAGCTTTGAAATGAGTGGTTGGAAGTCAAAAGAACTTTGAAATGCACAGGCAAAATGCTCAGCCGAAGTGTCTTCTAAACGTCTAACTGGTTCTCACCAGTTGAATGGATCAATGCTGCGCCAAGGCAAAGCTGGGTCTAAAAATCAAGACATGATTATGATATATTATGATCAATCGTTATCAATCATTATCAATCGTTGTATTGTTTGTGTCAGTGTCAGGACCGGGACTGTGAAGTTTTTCAATCCCAACAAGGCACTGGTTGTGGTTCTTCAGGTTGCGTTTGCCTGTTCTTTTTCAGCAGAAAGTTTGTATTCTATCTGAATCACGTTCATCATGGTTCAACCATGTTCAATTCATGTCTTGTTGCTTTCTTTCAGCTCTTTTCAGATGGTTGCCATATGTTGCCCATGGTTTTTCGGCAGATGTAGGCCCTGGTGAATTGCGGAACCATGTTTTTTTGTTGCGGTTTTTCGAATGGTGAATCGCTGGTAGGGCTGGGGGTTCATCGAATGCGCGGCAGCTGGTACCGATGTGTTTTTGTACAAGGGCGACCTGAAGGGCATGTGTGTTGAGCCCGGTCAGACAGTTGGGGCCTGAAGAATCTGAAGATCTCTTCAGATCGTCGCAGCTGTTGATGGATGTTGATGTTCATTGATGTTCATTCCAGGGGGACAAGGCGACATTTTTCACCATCAGTTTATATCAGATTTTACATAGTCAGGTCGATCAGGTGGATGAAAAATACATTTCAAACCACCAGAAACAATGTGAAACTTCCATAAACTTTCCTGAGACGCCAAAGAGATGTTCAGCCCTTTCTCTGTTTTTTGTTGCGTGTTTGGTGAGGTTCAATTCAATACGATTCAGAACGAGAAAGGGACACAGGCACAAGATGTCACTGTGGTAGTTGCTCCACATGAAGCTTCGTACTTTGGTGAGATCAAGTCCTTTAATCCAATGAAGGGACGCTTAGAAGAAATCTGAGAAGCTCATGGTACATGGTATGTTTCCAATATTTATCATGTGATATCATATATAATATAATATTAAATTAAACTATATTATGTTATATACACTGTCTAAATGTTCATCTGATATTTATCATTCACTGTTGGTCGATTTCTTTCCTTTTGGGCTTTGGGGTTTGATGCTGGCCCCCATGATCGCTACCAAGGATATGGTTTCATTTCTAGCCCAGCCTTCCCTGAGCAAGACGTCTTCCTGCTCAAGACCGACTTGCCAGGCCCGGGCCAGCCATATTTGACAGGTAATTGATATCCATTCCATATGAAACATCATGATATATACATAATATATTATGCTATACATATAACAGAATATGTCATAATATACAACATGATATATAATATGATAATATATGATATGTTTATATAATTTGATATAATATGATATAATATACGCAATATGTAATATGTAACATGACAAATATATATATATATATATATCGTATATATATATCGTATATATATATATATGTACATAACATATAGTATTTGATATCTAATACATGAATACATGATACATGATAGAATATGATATGATATAATCTAGTATAACTATAGATGGATGGATGAATGGATAGATATTCCCCTGGCTGGGAACACTCATGGAGTCTCTTAAAAAAGCCCAGGACAACATGGTCCTTCAGGAACACCAGTCAAGTTCAAGGTTGTGCTGGAGGCCACTGAAAAGTGTGATGGGGCCACGTCACTTTTTGGGAGCTTTCAAGATTAGCCCGGCTGGTTTTTTTTGGAGGCAAAAAAAAAAACGACTCAAGTCTCAAGTTGTGAAGTCTTCATTGTTCAGCAGGAACTACACCAATCCCCAAAATCTCGGTATATCTCGGTCGATGTTGCCTTCCTGGGGTGTTTTTGTATGGTCGGATGGGGTTTTTCCAACACCAAATTCATCGACGGAAAACCCCACGCATTTCTGTGTCAGTCCTAGACTTGACATGACTTGACAATACCCCGAGAATGGGGTGGCAGATGGGGAAATCTGATTTCAATCGGAGAGCTTTGTGATTTCCATCATTTCCATTTGCCATTTGTCATCATTGGGTATGGATCAATACCTATTAATACCATTTTTAGGGGGATGAACATCCATTTACCAGCTATTTTGATGTTCACCAGGGGTACAAGGTTTTGACACACTGCCATTTCTCCAACCGTGATTTCTCCATAGTGAGTTCACTGCAGCCATTGGAAAACTCACGGGTTTATTTTGGTGATCCGCAGGCAAAGGGCTACGCCGCCAAAGAGGTCATGTTGTTGGGTGAAGCCGGAAAGCAGGTCCAGATGATGAATCAGATCCTGATTGGAAGATTTAGAAAATGTGAATTTAGACAGGGATGAACTGGATAATTTTGGGGTGATTAAAACATACTACTCTATTCAATTATCATCCATTATCCATACCTGGGGATTTATGGATGATTTAGGCTGATTAAGACATATTCAATTATCCATAGCTGGGGACTTATCAGCAGATAGGCAGTTTGAAACATCCATGTAGTAAACCGCCGAAGAGGCAGCCATTTGGGGGATGTAGTTTTTGAATGTTTTTGATGCTTCGAATATGGATAGCCCGCAAAAATTCAAAATTGGGCAAGTAGGGGAATTGATTTTTTTGGGGTTTAGCGCGGTACAACAATATATACCATGTGAAATATACAGACGTTATGTAAAGCACCCCCCAAAAAAATAGAAAAGTGTTTCCAGGATGGTATAGATGATGTTTCCTCCATATTTTTACAGGTTTCCAACTTTTCGTCACCTTTTTGGGAGTTGCTATAGACATGTCATCGACCTTCACAGAAGTGTCCTTGGAACATTTCGGAAGTGTACTTGGCATTGTGAAGATGTGGGCATCATGGTTTTGACTTTGGAACCGATAAAAAAGCACAGTTGATTTCAAGAGCTGGAGATGGATTGTTGCCTGCCTTTGAAACAAGATTTTCCATAAAAAATTGGCCACAAATCGGGTCTGGCCGCTTCCGAGGATGATGGGCGCTTGGGGTATGGGCCCCATGATGAACATGATGGGCGGCATGGGCAAAGGTATGGGAAAGATGGGCAAAGGCAGCCCTATGGGACAGATGGGACAGATGGGCGGCGGCAAAGGCATGAGCAAAGGCAACATGGTATGGCAACCGCAGTTCATGAAGAAGGGAATGGGCCCCATGGGCGGCCCCATGGCCTTAATGGGCAAGGGGATGATGTGATCCAGGGCTGCTGCCATGTCTCACAGATCCTGGGCACTGCATGTCAAGTCGAATCATTATGTTTTCGTGAATGATTTAAATTACTGTAAATTGTTTAGAGGTTAGTGCGTTTGATTGCAGAGGTTCTGATGGTTTCTCAAAGAGCATCTGTTTACATAGCGGAGGTGTCCGGCCCTAGCGAAATGCATTGCTTGCGCACTTGCGCACTTCACTGTGACTTCAGGGCAAGAAGCCCGGAGTGTGAGGTGAATTGCTTTGCCAAGCCTGGGAAAATGTGTTAAGATGTGGAAAAATGTGGAAATGATTGAGAAGTGGCTGGAAGTCACTACAGGATTAAAGTGGTGCTCGTTGTGCTCTACCAGTGAGCACGTCGTGATGGGGGCAGCCGTCAGCTGCCCTGTCTCTGTTTCACCGGCCACGTGTCGCGTGAAAGGCGCGCGCCGAGCTGTGACATGGGATGACATGGGTCTGTCCTAAAGTGTATTCATACTCTCTGGTATCCTCTGGTTATGACTAACAGTTCGCCATGGTATAGATGGCCCATAGAAATAGATGGTTTACCTATTAAAAATATTTTAAAATTGTGATTTTCCATGGCTATGTCAAATAACCAGATGGTACACTCGAAATGGCCAATCAGCGCAGCCATTTTATGCGCAAGTCGCGTCAAGGCAAATCAGTCTCTCAGTGAAGGCTGCAGCTTTGACAGCTGATTTTCCGATGGCAAATGTTGGGCTTAATGTTCTTGGGATGCATAGATCAGTGGAGCCAATGAAGTGCAGAGCATTGACAACAGGCTGTAACATTTCATGTCATGTCTGTGTTCCTTCTGAAAGGTGATATGAGACATTGTCAATCTATACTTTCACTAAACTCACTCAAAGAGTTGCATTTTGCATGCATTGGACTTTGCACATGTAGCTGTGGTTTTGCCTCCCAGTGAAGTCCCGCTTTCGTCGATCTTCGCATGTTTCCAGCTCGTGGCCGCCAAGGTTGCCTTGCACGTCGCCGGATTGCTTCTGGTGATTCTGGTAGCTGGGTGTTGATCCAATGGATTTTTCAGAGTTTTTCTATGGGACCAATCAAAGGACTCCCATCCCTACTAACACCTCCTAAATGGTCCCATCATGGTCCCAAATATGGGTAAATCATGGTAAATCATGGTAAATCAATGTAAATCCGTATAAACCATGGTTTATGGGAGGTGTTTTTTTAGGCATAGCACATCCCCGTAAGTCACCGCGGTGGTGACTTGGAGCCAAGGATTTCTTGCTTTGGGTCCTGACCCTTGGTTGACACCTTACAACATGTGATGGAGAGCATGGAGAGCCTTGCAATGTAGAAATCAACAGCCTAAAAAACCACAGCTGGATTGGACCTATTTGGACCTTGAGGCCCAATTTGGATGCTGCTGAAGAACATGAATGCTGTGTCCGAGTTTGCAAGTTCTGGTCTGAGTTGAAGACTTCATAGCCATTTGGACTCAAACCGCGCTAGTTTCACGGCACAAGCCCGGCCTGAGGACCAGTGAAGAAAGCCAAGATCAATAGTACAGGTCCTGATTCCGACGTTGCGAGACTGAGCAGAACTTTGTGCTTTCACTTGTCTATACTTTGTCGAAAATGTTATTTGGACTGTCATCCGATGTCGCAGACTTTTCTGAGGTTTGGCATTCCCTAGAAGCGATCCAGGCTGGCAAACTCGTGACGTCACCGTTTCCGGAAGAGGCTGGGAATGGCTCGGTCCGAAGACGGTGCAGCCTGAGCTGAGGAGCTACAGCATTGGTTGTTTTCCCAATTGGGATGGGTTTAAGGCAGGAAGGATTCCCATTGTGGGATGGATGACATGATGACCATAAATAATGCCATAAACCATGGTTTTGACCATGGTTTTGACCATGTGTGTGATGGTCAAGAGTTAGATAAACCAATAAATCCATGAATCAGGATTATGATTTATGACCCTGATGGTGGGATGACCATAACCCATACATATACACACCGTATACCAGTCATGGACCTTGACCATGCACTGGTTGAAGTTGTTGTTCGATTTTCTTCAGAGGTGAACTTCAAAGAAATAGAATAGTTGGAGGTCAAAACATCTTCAAACCAGGCGTTTTTTTGTTGGGGATTCCCCTACCATCCAGGGCGTACTGACAGTACCCCAACTACTCGAGCGGTCGGTGAAGCGCATCTGGGACTGCAGTGGTTGGGTTTTTTGATTTCATGGGGAGATCATGAGAATTTATGCAATATTGATCAATATTCATCAAAAAATAGTGGATTCAGCTATAGCAAGTGTGGGGATTCAGCTATGATAAACTTCAGCTATTGATTTTGATGAGGATCCAATTTGGGTTATGCCGATGGGAATTTCCATGTGGGGATGATGGGGATCAAAATTGGGGACCTGTTCATGAAACATGGCAAGCTTCGAAATCCCAGAGGTCAATGGCGGTGTTTGACCCTCTGGTAAACGTTTACGTAACTATGGAAAATCAATGGAAAGATCCATCATTTTTCATGGGAAAAACCACTATTTCTGTGGTAACTATGGAAAGATCCATCATTTGTCATGGAAAAAAAACACTATTTCGACTGGGCTATGTTCAATGTCGCAAACTGTAAACGTTTACCAGAGGGAAATATGTTCTGTATGGGAACATCTGCAAACTCGGTGATTTTTGTTGGTTGCCACCTTTGATGACTGCAGCAAATCAGCTTTTTTACACTGACCCAGTTATTTTGGTGAATACCACAATACCACTTATACCACTTATTTGGGATGTGGCTCTATGACATATATATATATATACTTGATAAGACTCAATTGGCTCCGGGGGTCAACCGGCAATGGGGAAGCATGATAGAATGAAGAAAGACAATCAATTTCAATGGGAATTTCCCAGGCTGGCTGTCGGTGTCAAGACATGTTGATGTTCCACCCTATTTGTTTTTTCGTTTGGTATTGGATGATGATGCCAACTGACATCTATTTTTCACTCTGCGATTCAAACAATTCAAAGTACCAAGCAGTTTAGTATTGAATGACCCAGCGGTTTTATGGGCAGTGCCATATTCGTTTGACCCGTATTCCAAATTTTGGATGTGGCTACCATTCAAGAGCTGTTGTTTGTTTTATCCATAACTATACCACCTATTTTGGGGGTGGAAATCCCAGGTATACAGAGATTTGTTCAGTTCGGTCAACCCGACACTAAATATCCACGACCAGGGGGATTGCTTATACCATCTATACCATCTATTTCTAGGGTCCCCACTGTCCTGGTGCTACCATACCATACATTGAGGCTATGCTGATCGACAAGCTCAAGGAATTCGACCCTTGCTGTCTTGGAAAAAGGACGGTCGTGTTTCAACACGGCCGGTGGACCCTCCAGTAATTCAATGTGGCAGGGGAAAATCCTCCATTTTTAATGGATATTCCCATGAAATCCTCCATTTAGCTTGAGGTTTTCCCAGTTTTTTCCAGGTTTGATGTCACCGGAAACTGGCCAGTGGATGTGTCTGAAAATGGGGGTGCCAAATTTTCAGACACCAAGGAGAATTTGGAGAGTTGGCTATGGAAAACGGATGAAAACACTGCATCTATAGATGATTTACCCATTAACAAATGATGATTTTCCATCGTTATGTTAGCCAACCAGAGGGCAAATGTGTATCTTTGTCGAGGACGAAGGCTACAGATTTCCAGCCAGGGCCGGTGCTGCTTCGTGTCGATGCGTAGTCGTAGCCAGTGCTGTGCCCATGAAATCAGCAGGTCTTTGGAGAGACGCACTGGCGAAGCTATCGGGAATTCGGTGATTTATGCAAGGCACCGAGGGTGTTGGGGAATGGGCCATGGGTACATGGTATATCATGGTATAACATGGAGTAATAAGCTCCGGTTGGTTTTTTTGGGGGGCGGAATGGCACCCCCAAGCACCATATGGAACTTCGGCGCTTCACAAGGTTGTCCAAAACGTGTCACATAACCATGTTTGAATATCTTCGATGGTGAAGCTGTTCCTGGAAGGTGTTATTTTCAAGATGTGGCAAATGCAAATATACTGTATGTTTAAAAACAAACTCAGCAAATCTCATATCCCAATTGGATCCATGCCAGGGATGGTTAACATATCAATACATGTCATGTCATATATCAGTTTCTGGTGAACTTCAAAATATGACATCATATATATATATATATCATATATATATATCATATATATATATATGTAATATATATATATATCAATTTCTGGTGATCACCATTCTATCATATATTATTCATATATCATAGATCCCTTCAAATATATATGCCCAAAATGTTTGTCAATCAAGTTGTGGGTCGCCATTTGTCACGTCCCAAAAATGTCCAGGCTTTTGGGGCTGGTTTGCGAGCACTTGGCTTGGAGTGGGATGCCCAGCCGTCCATGACATGCCATGACTGGGACCCCGTTTAAGGATGAGATGAACGGGGGAAGGAATGATTATTTGAATTGTAGGACTAAGGGAGTCCTAATCTTCAAAAATAGATGGGTGATGTTTGAACATGGGATGCTTTTCTTGACAGCTTTCATGGATTCCTAACTCGGAGGATGTTATGGCTGCTATGGATTGGCTTTCCACCATAGATCACCATAGATCACCATAGCAACTTGGGAAGTGGACCAATAAAGAAGTGGACCAATGTGGTTGCCGAGGCCGCAGCCTGAAGGAGAGTTCGACAGCCTCACTGGAAAGTTCAAGATCATGATGTATGAGGACTGCCAGTCTCAGATTCTGTCAGCAGTTGCCATGCACGTAACGTAACCAGCTGGTGAAAAATCATGGGAGACGCTAAAAAAATCCTATTGATATGAAAAATAGGATAGCAACCAAGCAGAATGGGATTAGATACGGGCTGTTGTTCATGACTCGATTCAGTGCTCGTTTCTGCTGTGAAAACTTCCACATCTTCTGTTTTGGTGATTGCCTTGATATTTCATCTGCCAAGGCTTTCTAGATCCACTATTCAACAATACTTTGGTAGTGACATCTACCCTCTGGTAATTTAACATGACTATTGAAAATGGCCCATTTATAGTGGATTTTCCCATGAAAAATGGTGATTTTCCATAGTTATGTTAAAATTACCAGAGGGTAATATGAAAGAGATTAGAATTAGCCAGGCGTCAGTCCGACATTCTTCTGGAAACGCAGGACACCTGTGCCGATTGGCAGGTATGCGCGTGCTGCTGGCTAAGCTTATCTGCTTCTCAATTCATTAGAAACCCCCAAAGCCCAGAAGCTGTTTGAGGAGATTTTGGCCATCCGACTTCCAGATGTATCGCAGGTTATCCTCTTTGGCTGTGTTAAACCCCATGTTTTGTCTATTATATTGACTTATTTATGTGTTTTATTTTGTTTGTGTATCCGAATATGTTCTCATGACCCATGTTTTTTCTGATCATATATCTAAATATGTCCTATGTTCATTTATGTCCTATGATGTCCGTTGAGTTTCTCCCATTTGACAGGGGTTGGCAAATATCATGTTTTGGGGGAGGTTTGAACAATTCAATTTGAAGCACCTTTTTGAGATTATGTTCCCTTTTCAGTTGCGTGATGCAAAGAAAGGTCTGACCATTTTTGGTGATATAATGATGTAATATAATGTTCATAGAGTTTTTGTTCCATGTTTTTCCTCATCATGTGAAGTTGGTTCTATATCCAGTTATCCCCATGATATCCCGATTATATTGTTACCCCATACCCATTAATCACATAATACTATATCCCAATTATATCCCCTTGTTTCGCCATGATATGCCATAGTATATTCCCGTATTATATCCTTCTTATACCCCATCAATCGCATTCAATTCCATGATATCCCATGAAATATCCATCATTCATATCTGATATAGAACAGGGAAAATGATCCGTAAATTCCAAATACCCTCTGGTTATTTAACAGTTCGCCATGGTATAGATGGCCAATAGAAATAGATGCTTTACCTATGTTTACCTATTAATAGCATGGGGATTTTCCATGGCGAACTGTTAGTCATAACCAGAGGGTAAAAATATCTCAGATTTCTATGTGAATCACATTCATCCCATGATCCTGGTCATTTCTGAAACAGTTTGCTATAGAAAATATGGCCCAGAATTATATATTCAATGGATTGGTTTTTCAGGGACATTTTACAGGAAACCCCCATATTTAATGGGAAAATCTATGGTTTCCTGTAGATTTTCCCTTAAACCAATCCATTGATATATAGTTGATTTACCCATTCAAAATGGTGATTTTTCCAGTTCGCAAACTGTTCGTGTAGTTTATCAGAGGAGGAACACCCCTGATTTCCATTAAGAGGTCTTCGTCCTGATCTTCATGGTAGTCCCATGATATTAGTTGCATCCCATCAGAAAGGGATCCCATTAAAAATCACATCAAATAGCCACAACAAAAATCCATGATGAATGGGATATTCCCTAGGATATCATGGGATATAGAGATTTACCCAAACTGGTAAACATACAAAAAACCATGGAAAACCACCATCAAAAACATTTTTTGATGGGTAAATCAACGAACTTTCCATGGTCCATGGCTTCAATAAGCCAGGTTTGGCGCCATGTCGCAGAACATCGTGGTGGCCACCGCCTATGCGACCCTTGGGACCGATGCCGTGGTCCACGCGGTCAACGAAGGCGACCTGGGGATTTTCCCTGGATCCGTGGACTTTTCATGTGTTGAGCCTCGGATAATCACACCTAGCAATGGAGAAATCTCACATTTCTAGAGGTTTTTCCCAATCAAAGCTCCATTCACTGAGGATGTCCCCTTGCCATGTTACCGGAGGGGAGCTGGAAAATCCCATTAAAGAAGAGTTTGTTTCCATGATTTTGGTTAGATATTCGGGGCTGGTCAATGGGTCAATGGGATGAGCCTCGGAAAGAACAGAAGATGGCCATGGCCAACATGATGTGTGTTGGACTGACGTGACAAAAAACGTCATGCACGGGAGAAAAAAAATCTTGAGATATCCGGCGATGGAGGTCACAAAAATCGATGCTTCTACTTGGATGATGTGATAGAAAATCCAGGGGAAACCAGAGTATGAAACCATTGCTTTTCCATGGCATTCCATGACTTTCCCATCAAATATTACCCTCTGGTAATTTAACGTAGCTATGGAAAATCACCATTTTTGATGGGAAAACTCACTATTTCTATGGCCATTTTCCATAGTTTTTTGTAAGTTTACCAGAGGGTATTGGAAATTCCTGTTGTCAGTTGTTCCTTTCAACCTGGGTCAACCAAGCCGAGGATGTCTCGTCCCCGTCAGGAGCCGTTTCGGCCATTGTGTGCAATCGCAAATCTGCGGAGGGTATGAGCCTTGGATGATCGATGTCACAAACAATGGACACGAATCCAATGAGTTGTGTTAGTTGTTCTGTTTGGGTTGAACATCTATGGCTGAAAATGTTAAACAGGATCTTCCCAAGATCCCAGGGATTTTTTCACATCCAAGGTTTTGAAACTGAAAAACCGCTTTCCCGAATCAGCCCATTATTTGTCGACGGCTGGGTGAAAGTTTGAGGCTTGGAGAAGATTGCGGAGCAAATGCCTTCCCTGGAGGCTCCATTTCTGAAGATATGCAGCATTGTATACCCTTTGGTTATGACTAACATAGCCATGGTATAGATGGCCCTAATCGAAATAGATGGTTTACCATGGTTTACCTATTAATAGCATGGTGATTTTCCATGGCGAACTGTTAAATAACCAGATGGTAAATTCTATATATTCAAGGCCTAGGAAAGCGCAGATGGATTGGTCATGTTTGGTAAGCACCCAATGTTCGGCCCCATCGAGAGGCCATTATATACCTGGACTATTTGTGCACGCTGGATCCCAAGAGAGGCACAACAGGTACAACAGGTGCAACATGACGGCAGATTCTTCGCTGATCTTTGCGAAGTGACATCAGACTGCAAATCAAGTTCTGAGCGTTGGAAGAAGGATCTTGCCATATCTTGACCGATTGACCAATTGACCAATGTTTCCAGTGGATGTGGATGAAGTCAACCGGGTGGTATCTGTACCATTCTCATCCTCGCAGGTGAACCAGTCATGAGATCACCATTCTCTCGGCTGAGGCCCGAAGAATGCCAAACCAAATTGAAGAGCAGCTCCAAGTCGGTGAAACTTCTCTCCTGGCGCGGTGGCTTGTGGCTGAAACGTTGGCTGTCCCATGTTTGGAATGGAAATGGCATGAAATGTTGAAATGTTGGCCAAGATGGATGGTGTACTTATAAACAAATGTTAAGAAAAAGGCCTTGGGCTCTGTTTTTCAGCTTAAGGGCCCCATGTTTGATGAACATTGCCTAGTGATATTTTTGGATACCTAATCCATACCATTGATAGGATATTCACATCCATTTACCAAACATTTACCACAAAGTGGGGCCCCCGAGATAGCTAAGTTGGTTTATAACTCCAATAACTATGGTTTATTGTACTTATAACTATAGTATAGTTATTGGGGCTTATAAACCAACTTATAACTAGGGGGGCCCACATTGCAGCTATTTTGCTGTTCCCCAGGTAGGCTTTTGACCCATACGCTTCGCTGCCAGGCAGGAGGTCATCGAGCTGGGCAAGGTGGTTTTTTTTCGTTGGTCATGGCTTGGAAAGCTGGGAAAGTGCTAACCGGCAAAACCATCAATCATACCATTATTTCATAAATACGTGTGTATCTATATATATATATTATATGGGAGGCGTTCTAAAACCTTCCTCTTAAAGTTTAGTAAGCGGGTTTGTGGAGAACTTTGGGTAGTTTGAAACCTGCATCTCGCAAGTTTCGCGCAAGGCCGGCCCAAGGTGTTGCGCAAGGGAAATTGTGTTTCGTGGCATGTCATGGTGTTTCTTCAACATGCTTTTCTATGCTTGTGTGGCAATTCATCCAGGTATTCCGTAGTATTCCCATGGCTATAAATCACTAGAAATCTCCATGTTGGGGATTTTTTTTGCCATGATTTTGGCAGGCCAACCCCAAGGAGTCCACTCCCGCGAAGCCTGACTCTATCGCGGTGCTGATGTGATCTGACAGCCAGTGACTGATGTGGTATAGACAGCATATTACAAGGCTAGTATAAATCATTTATATATACATTGTGAGTGAGTGTATTAATACACTTATAGTCACTTTTATAGTCAACTTATATAGTGTGTGTATATATATATATACACTTATCTTTCATATCTCTATGTTTCTATGATATATGTTGATGATACACTGCCTATAAATGTTGAGGCTTCATGGTGAGTCTTTGATGATGAAGATCCTTCAAGGTACACCAGCGGCTCAACCGGCCCACCAAAGGCGCCTAGAAAACCGGGTGACGTGACGGCACGGCGTTTTTTTCACTCGTTGCACGGCTGGGGTTGAACTTGAAATTCTTGGGAAAACGTGGGATAAAGATGGATAAAGTATCCATATGATTGAAAAGCTGATGTTCTCCATGAAAATGTCAATGGGGCATACTGCGCCCCATTTTCAGATAGCCCCGCTGCATTTCACTTGGAAGAGAATGGGTCGATTTTGGAGCTTGAGCTGCCAGGGTGTGATGCTGCAACATCAACAACTGGTGGCATTTGTTGCATCATGTCTTTGACTCAGCATTGCAAGTCTGAATCTCTGCAACCGTCCTCCCGGGACTTTCTGAATGCTGAGGCTTCATTCAATTCTCAGAGGTCTTGGACGATCTAGGCTGGGATGCCTATGGATGCCTATGGATGTCTCCCATATTTTGCCTGCAGAGATGACAGATGACGGTCAGGATCCCATACCTTCCTCGGATATCTTCCACTGGCTCACATTTTGGCAGTGGTAGCAGAGTTGTCAATGCCTTAGGTCATTTCACGGGAAACTTAAAGCCTTGAGGGAGCTGCGGCCATGGCCAAACGTTGCAACGGTTGCGACGACGTTGAGACTCAGGCTTTTCTACACCACTGGCAACCGCATTGCCTATGCAGATCCCAAGTCTCTTCTGCCAGGTGTCGAGAGTTAGAAGAAAGATTTCATCACGACCTCACGTCACGAATGAGGAGAATTGTAGGGTAACTATCTCAAAATGGACGAACTTGTTCAGGTGTGTGAATTCTTGTCATCTACCCAGATGTTTTTTCACTATAATCCCTAAACAAATCCCTATTCTCCCTATTATATCCCCACATATTTCCGCTATAGTCAATATTCCATATGATATTCCACTAACAAAATTCATCATGTCCCACCAGAAACCATACTATAACCATCTATGTCTATAACCAATATTCCATGATATTCCATAAAGATAGCATCAGAATCCCCTTCTTTGAAATGTTCAGCGACAAAAGAACATTGGCCGGGAGGTCCCGAGAGGTGTTACCCCAAGGGAGCTCTTGAGGAGACCGGGCCTAAGATCTTGCAGGGACAGCCTCAAAATGCTGATGTTCAGTAGTGTTTTTTATGGTAAAAAAGGGAGATCTACCAACCATCCAACAGCGTAAAATGCAGGGTAATTTATGATATTTATGGAGATCTGCCACCATCACCGACCTTTGTTCTGTTCGAACATGGTGGACGAATTTCTGGCCGAGACGAAGTCGGGACAGAAGTGACACGTATATAATAGAGTCATAATGCGAAAGGTTCTAAGTCCGGCAACACCCCTTGTTTGTGTGACAGGTGCTGTCACGTTGTTAAGAATTGTTAAGAATTGGAGACGCTGGAAAATGTCTTGCCTTTTCAATTGCTGGCAACGAGGTTCGCTCCAACTTTGATGGCTGGGGTACCGAAGGTCTGGGAGACCATCAAGAAAGGCGCAAGTTGGGCTTACGCCGGATCTTTGGGGAGACCCATTTACCCTTTGGTAAACATACAAAATGCTATGGATTTTTTTTCATTTTTGATGGGTAAATATAAAACTATATGATTATGGTCATTTTCAATAGCAAAATCACCATTCACCATTTTTAATGGGTATATCAACTATAAATGGCCATTTTCAATAGCAAACTGTTAGTCATTACCAGAGGGTACCCGGGAACGGGTTCCATAAGTGACATGGATGCGGAAAAGCCGTGGGGAATCCCGGGAACGGAAAACGATCTACGGTTTTTTTCGTATCTTTTAGTGTTTAGTGGGTAAACTCCACATGTATGCAAACGTTTACCCTAGGGTAACCAGGAAAGATAGGGATCTCACCTAGAAATCTCGGGTTTTAATGTCCTTCCACCTTTTCATGAAACTCTTGAAATGAGCAACTGAAAACCTATCTATAGTGGCTACTCGCAGCTATGATAAGGTTGGAAGGGTGCATTTTATAGTAATTAGTAATTTATCATGAATCACAAGGGCTCACTTATTCTCATTGTCTAATCAGCTAGTGTGGCTGAGATGTGATAGCCTGTGCCACCGGCTATGCCCTGACAAAATCACAAGGGTGAAGAGTTTAGAGACCATACGTGCCATGGTAGAAACATGGTATATTATATGGCTTACTGTCATTTATCCCATGACGAAAATCCTTATGGTGAAGCTACTTGCCCCAGCTGAAGGTGCAGAGACGAAAGTTGAGAAGAGTGGACCTGTGCCCCAGCCTAAGGGCACATGCGAGGCGCAAGATGACAGATGCACTTCAGGTGAATGATGATGATGATGATGATGATGATCCGATGATGAATTATTGTTGAATTATTGTTGGTATGGTTTGCTATAACTATCTATCAGTAGGATGATGCTGATGATGGTGATGGTGATGGGCATCAAGCTCCAAGGGTGGCATTTCTCTTCAAGCTGGCGATGCGGATCAAGAAATCCGCG